TAACTTTTTTTTGAAATGGCACATATTGATAGTTATCATTAGCCCTTTAGCTGACTTCGGGCTTCACAGAAGGGAGGAACATTAAAGTGAGAAAAATTCGACAAGGGAAAAGAAGAGCGATTCACAGATGTAAGAGACAGAGAGACAGACACAAAGGCAGAGAAAAGACTAGATGAGTACTGTGGAGGGGTCGAATAAAACATACAGTGGGGTCATGGTAGCTTGAAGTCAGAAGTCAACTGCCAGTTAATAGACTTTTTTGCCGTGTGAGTATACGTTGCCCAGGGTGCACAACGTGGAGGTAAGTCTATCGCTCACCCCTTTTTTCTCCGTCTAACTTAAATCCTACTAAATCGATTTTGAGTAAGTGCAACCTCTGTCTTGGTTTAGTGAATTGTGGCCTAGCAGCACTTAGTGTCAGATACACCACGACAATGGTAGGACTCGTTCTCATAACAGTATTACTTAGCAAGTCACAAATGATTTTATTTTATTTAATATCTATTTATTTGTTGGATGAACTTTCAGTGCTTCTAACCGGCCACTATTCCTGCCTCAAAGATTGCATATTTGGCCATTAAAAGGACTGAGTGGGAAAAATAAGGTCTTGAGAACAAAATAGGGCAAATTAAATCAGACCTACTTCAGGAGAATAGGGCACCACCACCAGTAGATTTCCTGAAGTTTTTCACTTGGAACAGTGCTCTCCGATGATGACCCCACATCACTAGCATTAACTCCAAGACGCTTCATCATTGCCGGATCCATGAAAGCCATGAAGGATCCCGATGCTAGTAAAGGCCACCCGGGAACCGTATGATCCAGAAGGTAGACTCCTGGTGAAATTTATTACATTGCATAATATTGCCAATAAAAAGTGATGTTACTAAATACCTTCAACATATGAACGTCTACTAGAGGTTAAAGAGTTCTGTGACGCTAGTTGAACTCACTGCATGAAACAGCTTAACTTTTCATTTCAAGTATCCATCGGTAGCCTTCTGTGGGGGCCATAAATACTAGCAATAGAAAGACATATTCGGGCTCTATCATGGACTCTGAAGAAGCGCTTGCGTGCTCAAACGCCCCCGGAACGTCGTGGAAGTGATGCCAATCACGCTATGGAGCAAATAAGGCCACGAGTTCGGTGACCTCTCAACCAATCAAAAACCACGAGGCAGTAAAGTGTTACCGAATCCAAACAGTACTTAATGGTTTTGTTCCATTTCGACAATATATGACCAAATATATAAGCACCCAGCATATGCGCACAGCCAAAATAAACGTATTCCGCGTCCTTCTTCTCTTTTCTCTATAGTTTCGCGGTAGCTTAATTGCTGCTTGGAACCATCCCAAATAAGGAACTGAGGGTAAGTCTGGGCTTATTAGAGTATCAATCCGCTACATAGGTCTGTTTCATTAAAAATTTCCAAACACAATAATTGAATGCTATTAGGTGGAATAAAGATTAGTAATTAATTTTAAAAAAAAACAATCTGCTTACCGGACTTTTGTCTATGCAGATTGAGCAAGATCTGGAATGCTGCTGAATGAGCTCCAATCGGTTGCTCCAAAATAGACCTTGCGACCTCTGAGGAGCTAGTCTTTTTCACACTAGCCAGGTAATCGAGTGCCTTTGAAGTTAAAATGGAAAAGTCAGAATACATTTTAACAAAAAAAAAAACAATTCATTGTCTAAACAAATGTAAATTATCGAATTAGGGAATACAGACTGTGTTTATCAGTTTTGAATAAATTAAGCTATTCAAAAATAAAGATTTCGAGCATTTTTGTTGGGCATATATCAAATTAATTCAATTGTACTTTTTGTTAATAAATGAAAATTACTAATTATATGAATCATAGGGTAATTTACATGAATACAGTTTACTCTACCCAAATTTACCTCAATTAAACTGTCACACTTTTTCTCGCCGAAAGCATTCAGACTGTCTGTTGAATCGGAGCGCAGATTTATGATGTTGGTTTCAATCTCTCCCTCGAGAAGCCACTCATTTCCACGAGTATTGTCTTCCACATCCTCTTCACTTCTCTTCCTATCATTGTTGTGGGAGAAAATGGCTTTTATTCGATCCAGAAGCCCACGGTTGACTGTCGCTTCCCACCTCCCACCTGACTGATCTTTGCCATTCATGCTGGAACCCTTGCATGACGTACTGGGAGTCATTTTCTAGAAAGCCACAGAAGGAAATCGATAAATTAGACTGAGTAGTTAACTTTCAGCATTATCTATCCAGTTCCAGTGCTTATGAGTGCCGGGTTTCGATCCAATATGCCTGGATTTTAACTGACCCAAGGTGGGATAACATTATCTGTAGTTGTGCCCTACCTGACTCAGATTTGAATTTGGTCACGTGCTTAGTGGGGTCCAGGGAAAATGAGAAAATAATCTAATTATAGATAATTTGAGCTAGAAAGTAGACGGAAAGTTGATTCAACTTTCATGTCAAATGAGCCTATAAATACGCATTTATTTGCCTTAACACAATCTGAGACTGTTTTGTGATCCTCTAAAGATAAAGAATTTCCTTAGCATTAATATGTTAATAGATTTAATAAGCCGTTTGGAGGATAGTGGTAATTCGATAATTTAAAAATCCAAGTTAATTAGTGTCACCATTAACATTAGATTAATCAATTTTTTCTTTTCCTATTTTAAACGAATTATTAAAAGCATGAAGAAAGAATCCAACAAAAAGCCCTTCTGTTGTATTCATGAAATGGAACACATGGTGGCTAGACATATAAATAGAAATCAAATAATCGAACAGATGGTTATTGGATGAGTTGGTAAAGTGTACAACGCTATCAAAACCACCCAGAAGAAACTTGAGCGCTAAAACATTCTGAAAAGTCCTCAAGTGCTACCGATCACGCGCGGAATCCGTGTAGAGTACTCCTTTCCCTTCCCCCCCCCTCCCCCTAGTCAATCAACAATCAATATTCATGGAGTGTCGCACTACTTGTACTAAAAACTACGAAGTTAGTTTGAGCAAAGTCACAGAAGATACCCGCTGTACATAGGGTATTTAATACGTAGAAGACTCAGCTAGAGGCTAGTTGTTCCTGTCTGCTAGGGGTTGTACTTAAAAACGAAAACAAATACAAATACGTCTATTAACCGTTACAAATTCGATGAATAACTTACCTATTAAATCAATCGCTGGAATCGGGTCATTTCAATAGAATTATGAGTAAATAATCGTGAATAAGCTAGTTTTATTTTGTTCATTTTTAGCTTCGATATAATTGAGCGATAGCATGGTTCTTGGAAAATTGACTTAAATCCTCTTCATTGTAATGTCCTATAAAGAGTTTATTTATGCGATAACTAAATAACATTTTCAGTATGCAAACACATATCTTGACTTTACAACAATGAAACTAAACTGGGGAAAACATTCCTTCTACATATTTGCAGTTCTAGGTTATACAATTCGTTTACCCAATTGATGTCAGTAAAAGTGTACTTTTGAAAGGGCAATTATGCCTATTGAAGTATTGATCTCCTTAGGCTCCGCCATATTCACTGGCTAGCACTAAAATTGCAGTTATAAACAAGTGTTATTGTTGTTGGTTCAAACGCATGCTATGTACGCAGTTGGCAGAGTTCGAATAGCTGAATCGCTTGGAAAGTGAATCCGCTAACTTCTACAGATCATATTTAGTCCATACTTAGGCCATATTATTACCATTGTGAGTGTAATTAAGGTTACCTTAGAAAGAACTGCTTGAAAGAAAGAAAGGCAGAACGAACTACCGCAAAATAGAATAGCGATAACTACATATAAAAATATCTTTAAAAACACAAGTCGAAGAGTAAATTAATTCATCGGACCCACTTTACTGAATGAATTTTTTTTATTGATTTAACGATTTTTAAAATAGATCGCTAAGATTCTATTTCGCTGTAAGCTTTTCTGTGGTGGGTAAATTATTGATTTTACCAGTCTTGAGGGTAATTCATAAAAACCCAGCATTAACTTAACAGAGAGAATTAATGGCCACCAACTAGAACGTATACTTAGTTGACTGCACTATTCGAACACTAACAATTCAATAATTAGTCGATTATATTAGAAAATCCGGGGTGTGCGATAGACTTACCTCCACGTTGTGCACCCTGGGCAGCGTATACTCATACGATAAAAAGTCTATTAACTGGCAGTTGACTTCTGACTTCAAACTACCATCATCCCACTACATGTCACATTTGACTGCTTTCACAGCACTCACCTCACCTTTTTCTTACCTTTGTGTCTGTCTCTTTCACATCTTTGAAACACTCTTCTGTTCCCCCCCCCCCTCTCGAATTTTTTTCACTGGTATTCCTTTTCCTCTATGAAGCCTGAAGTCAACTAAAAGGCTAATGAAACTCTCAAAACGCCTGCCATTTGATATAAATAAATAAATGTTAGAAAACCCATCTTACCGATATAGCTTCCAGGTTTGTGAAGAAATGAGCCGAACAAGGAGAAAAAGGTTGAAAAGGCATGGCGCCTGAATCTGTGATCCACGAATTGGTGCAGAGTTCACAAATAGGAATGCGAATGATGACTCGGGGTTCAATAAGTTGTCGTAGAAGTAACTGGCAAGCTATTTTCAAATGCAAGAAACACAAATTAATATTTATCATTAAAATTTATAGTCTTAAATTAACAATTAACGAAGAAAATGAGTTCCAATCTACTGATTAGTGTCATACTCAATTTTAAGTGTTGCCTCTAAATTTGTAATCGATTGTTAATATGGCATTAAAAAAGGAAATCCCAAAGAGGAAATAAATGACTTAATGTATCCTCTTATCCCCTACACAGACAACATTTTAATATATAATTTAATTACTAGATTTAGTGAATACATCAGCTCTTGATATTTCGCGTGTTTTTAGGGATAATTTAAAAGTCAACACTAATTTTGACAAATCCATGTGATGGATCTATTAATAATTATGCATTAATTTTACTCTAACTTTGAGAGTTACAATATAAAGCACTCTTTGAACCTGGAGTAAAGTCTGAGATGGCGTTGATGTGGTTAGGAGTGAGACCTCGTTGGGCAAATCGAAGGAGACGTCCGCGACGTTTGTGATCAAAGTATGGAGATTGAAAAGGGAGTTCACCGACCAGCATGTAGAATAGAACTATTCCTCTGTAAATTCAGAGAAAGACAAGTGTGGTGACAAATACAATTTGAATATCAGATAATACCAGGGGTTTAAGTTCAAAAGTGGAAGCTCCAAAATCTTGCGGTGGGACAAGACTGGCATTTCCAGCTGCCAAATAAATTGTCCATAGTAGAAGACAATCGATTTTTATAGGTGTGATGGACAGACTTTCCACACCAGAATCTGCAGATACAGGGGAATTGTGTCTTTGATGCCTATTTTACACAGTTTAAAAGGTGGATAGTTAACATAATATCTCTGGTTAGACGTGCCCTGTGTCCAAAATTTTTGTTACAGTTTATAAGCCTTTCACCTCGAGATACTCCAAAATCGTAATTCAGAGATGTGGGCTGGAAATAAATTTCGTCCAAATTCTTCGGAAAATGTTACTGCAAGAATCTGAAACAACTAACCTGAACTCTTTACTTTTCGTATTTATACAGAGTGGTCCGTATCACACTGAAAGTGACATTGAGCACTTGCATGGAATCATATCGTATTAAGTACTTACTGCTTTTAAATAAATACTTAATATCAATTTACCTTTCTATACTCACACGGGACCTGTGCCTGTATCCTTTGGAAGGGTACGGATAAGAAAAACGCAATAAAGGAGATAGATTGAGTTGGGGAGATAGGGTCAAGAAGCTATTTGATTTTTTTTAACAAAGACCAGAATAATAAGCAAACTTTTTGCTGCTACGCCGAGTTGTTTAAGATACAAGAGATACGAAAGGTAGGTCCTCCTAATCCGTTGGCAAACAAATTTTACTCAAAGATTTCTATTCGCCACTTGCTTGGTGAGAATCATTACAGAGTTTTGGGCTCTAACCATTTGTTGGAAAACCCCAATGAGCATATTCGTGAGGACTTACTAAGACACGCAATTGCTAAAACATCAAAGCTTCTATTTACGTGCCGATCTGGATGCGACATATCATGACTAACCAATTAATTAAATCAGCTGGGCAATAGGACACTGAGTACCATGGGTTTAAAATTATTCAGTGGCCAAGATGTGAGAGGTCTCGTGGTTCGATATCACACCGAAAATGATATCGAGATCTTGGGTTGACTCGCGTGATATCCAGCGGCCAATTTGTTGCAGCAATATATATATTGCTCGGCTTTGTGTTATCGTTCCAGCAGAATGCCGTTTTCAATCGAACTGAGATTATTTTTTACTGATGAAAGTTATTTGGAATACAAATCGTGTGTGTAATGCTAAATGCAAGGTTAGCCGCAAACTATCCACAGACAACTTCACCTGCTAAAAGCTTTGCTCAGAAAATGAACGCACTCACTCAAGACGTTAGCATGACTTAGCAAAGAAGTTAAACGACATCAAATAGACGTCAATAATTTTAACTGAACGTCCTGTCAGAGCATGTTAGAGCGACCCATGGAGAGTGTGAAATGACCAGAAAGAGCTGGAAATGAAAATTTTCATCGCGATTGTGGAAATCACACTAAATCACCTGGCCATGCTATTTCAAAACGAGTTGAGATGTGATGAATTGTGTTTAGAATTTTATGACGAGCAATTTCGACACCTGCAGAGAATTACTGGATGTTTTTGTTCGTAATCATCCGTATTTACTTCTTTTAAATTAAAATATATTATTAATTGTGCTACCTGTATTCACATAGGGGGGACCACTTTATTTTGGCATCGCGATAGTAACTGAACTCACTGACTCTCAGCCTAACTCTTCTTCCCCCCCCCCCCCCCCCCCTATGTACTGCGACCCCTATTGACCCTACTTCTGCCCTGACTGTCAAATGCTCCAGCCAATCATTTATTCCCATTTCCAACTCCCTATCCATTTTCTCAACAGAGAACCGATTTTGGAGCAGGAAGCCCTCTTTCTTCCCGCCACCCCCCCCCTTGAGACAGAAAAAATGAAGCCATATAAAGTGGGAAACTGTGCAAGTTATAAGGATAAAACAACTACAATGTCTGAGTTCGATTCTTCACGTTTACCTTCCTCGTTCAGCTCCTATTTAAGTATTTTAATGCATTTCAACGCTTATTAACATTAAAAATGCTTTTATTTTAATAGGGAATTAGGGCAAATCAATGTACTATTAATTCCTCTAATCTAATCTAATTTTCTTTTGTATGAAATACTTAGCAATTTATTTTCATTTTCCTACAAAAATTTGCATTTATTCGTCAAATTACAAGAACGTTTTAATGGCAACGATCTTTTATTTGAAATATACATTAAAATATTATACATTTGGGAACAATGAAAAAGGTAATTATATTAGGTAATAACTACCTATAATAAAATGGCATTTCAAATATAACCGAAGTTAAAGTACTAATGTCTTATGCTAAAAAAAAATAACGAAAAAGTAGTATCAAGTAAATTAGGAGACAATTGACAGTTATTAAGACATCCGAATTTACGTTTGTAGACAAGGGGTGTGCACCTCCTCGTGGTGCATCCTGGGCAACGTATACCCATACGGCAAAAAAGTCTATTAACTGGCAGTTGACTTCTGACTTCAAACTACCATCACCCCACTGTATGTCATATACGACTACTTTCGCAGTACTCACCTCACCTTTTTTCTACCTTTGTGCTAGTCTCATTTACATCTTTGAAACACCATTCTGTTCTCCCCTCCCCCTCAAGACTTTTTTACTTTGATGTTCCTTCCCGCCTCTGTGAAGCCTGAAGTCAGCTAAAATGCTAATGATAACTATCAAAACGCCTGATATTTGATATAAATAAATAAACTCTTTCAACTTTGGAGATATGCAACCGATAGAAATGGTATTCCTTCCTCNAGTGTACCATAAAAATGCTATGAGCTTGTAGCTGATTGCTACTTTATTAAAGCCTAACTAACTCAGAAATCTCTATGGCAGATTCTCAAACATCTAGCTAGACTCCCAGAACTAGCTAAGCTATAGCCCACCTATAAAGGAAACAGACGTGTAGCACGGAGCACGTTTATTCAGCGAGTATATTATGGATAAAGTGTATCACACAGGGAGCTACTCATGAACAGGATGGGGCATTAGGTTAAACAGAGGTTGATGATTGGTCACTGTTAGTACGGTCGCTGCACAGAGTTGTACGGCGCACCTCCCAATCCTGGTTAGCAGACATGCGCGCATACGATGACGCACACAACGATAACGTGTCCCACGAGCTTTATTTACTGAAAAATCTAACAAGAGTACTCTTGATGATTTCTCGTTTGCACAATCACATCATATTTTGCAAATTTGCATAATTATTTGCAACATTTATCCCACGTGGACAGAAATATCGGTTATTGATTTTCCTCATCCATGCCTTGAATCAGATCAGGCCACTGGTGGCGTTTCCACTCTTCTTAGTGGGTCTAAAAATAGCAGCCGGCATCATTGGCCATACATTTGATAGTCATCATTAGCCCTTTAGTTGACTTCAAGCTTCATAGAGGAGAAGAAACAAAAAAGTGAAAAAAGTCGAGATGTGGGGGGGGACAGAAGAGTGTTTCAAAGATTTAAAAGAGAGACACAAATGTAGAAAAAGGTGCGGTGAGAATATGAAAGTAGTCGAATATAACAAGTTGTCGGACCATGGTAGTTTGAAGTGAGAAGTCAACTGCCAATTAACAGACTTTTTGTCGTATGAGTATACATTGCCCAGGGGGCACCACGTGGAAGTAAGTCTATCGCACACCCCTTGGCCTTACATCAATTTTTCCAAAGCAGCTTAAACTAAATGCAAAGTGTTATAACAATTTCATCCAAAAGAAATGTTTATCTGACCACCCGGAAATTTTCTTGACCTAACTAACATGTCAGAAAGGGTAACATTTTAGGCATTAAGCATTCAATCATTGGAACTCAGGTTTTCAAATCATAAAAAAATGAAGATGCATTTTCCTAGCTTCGTTGTTCATATTCACTTAATGGTAACGACTAGTATTGATCTAGTTTCCTATGTACTTTTTTAATATTGTCTTAAATATCTTAACATTAAATCTTTTACTCATTTCCTCCTAAACACCAAAACTGCCGATTTGTAAGTAGAAATAGGGGAGCTTAAATAGTGTTATGCACTAACGTCGAATTAAAAAAAGTAGTGTCTAACGGAGAAGTGTTAGCCACATAGCACGTTTCTATTGGAGATTGTGGACTAGGCTCGCATTCTCACTGGTTAAACAAAAAATACCGCACACCAGTAGGAAGGGTGGTTTATAGATTTTCTGCCAAGATATTCATCTTCTTACTCTACTCTAAATCCAAGGTCAGTGCTAATTATTACAAAGTGATCGTTTCATCTCACCTTCATATGCTCACTACTGTTTGATCCACCTTTCCACCTTTTTTAATAAGTGTTTAGGGCTTACTAAAAACACAAAGGTCATGCTTTCCAGAGAGATAGGCGGGGGGTGGGGGATAAGAGTGCATAATGTGATTAGTTCTAGGTCACCTTCATTAGGCAGAGTCAGATTAACAATAAACACAAATGTTTTGAGTCAAGTCCTTTTAAACAGAGGATTAAAAAAATAAAATCAATTGTTTGTGGGATTGCATAAAGTTGAAGAATCAAGGTTGGATAGCATATAAATATACCAAACTCAGTACAAAGGCGGAGAAAAACGCCTTCTGGACAGTCGCTAGTCGGAAACCTTTTTAAAAAACAATCAAAGAACCAGTTCAGACGCCCTATTAAGGCTGAACCTACTCAGACTTACGTACGAGGAGTGAAAAGACTTATGGCACAACCGATGTTTTATTAGTGGGGTGTGTGATAGACTTACCTCCACGTGGTGCACCCTGGGCAACGTATACTCATACGACAAAAAGTCTATTAACTGGCAGTTGACTTCTGACTTCAAACTACCATCACCCCACTGTATGTCATATACGACTACTTTCGCAGTACTCACCTCACCTTTTTTCTACCTTTGTGCTAGTCTCATTTACATCTTTGAAACACCATTCTGTTCTCCCCTCCCCCTCAAGACTTTTTTACTTTGATGTTCCTTCCCGCCTCTGTGAAGCCTGAAGTCAGCTAAAATGCTAATGATAACTATCAAAACGCCTGATATTTGATATAAATAAATAAACTCTTTCAACTTTGGAGATATGCAACCGATAGAAATGGTATTCCTTCCTCTTCCTACCATCAAACATCTTATCTTGATGTTATGTTGCTATCTTAATATTCAGCACCGTAAAGTCCATTTATTGTCAAGATATTGGACTTCAGAATCTTCCAAACTGATAGATTGTTGAATTCAGAGAATGATAATTCAGACAATGAAAATAAAGCTGCTTACAGGGCCCAGGAGACAGCTTCTGGTCCGATCAGGTCTGGATTCTCCTCAATAAGTTCTGGGGCAGTGAATTCTGGACTGCAAGATGCACTGGTTACCTTTTTTCGAATAGGTAGAACCAGAGCCGAAGAGAGGTCTAAGAGAATAAAATACGCATGTAAAATTCCCCGTAATCTCACCATCTCTTTAATCTTTTCTATTTCCTTATTTTACTCAATTCAAAATGTTGCATACAAATTTCATTTACCTGTTATTTTGATATTCCGAAAATCTTTTGTGACTATTAATGAATTTACTGGAATTTCTCTGAAAAACAAGAAGAAAACCATTTATGAATATCTTATTCATGCATTTAAGATAAGAAACTTCGATAATATTTATAGAAATTTGAAGCTTGTTTTAATCACGCAGCAAAATCAGTAATCACACTCTTGCATAAAATAAAATCATCTATTAATTTTGGCATAGAATTTTGACCTTGAAAATCGAAATTCCTCCCCAACCTCATTTACATCTCACATACTTTCCGATACCAAAGTTAGAGATATTCGCAATATACGACCATAGCTTTCCATAAATTATTGAATGGTTCTACCGTAGTTTCAACCTACTTTTCAAAACTTACAGATTCCGTTTATCTGAATAGGGGAACTATATACATGATAAATGATTGGCTGACCGATTAGCCAATAACTGCACTGACGACTCCTCCACAGGTCGCCTTATATAACTTGGTTTGATCGTGAGAATCCAATCGAATCAACTATTCAGTGCACGATAGATGAGGCTATGAGTTTCTTGCGAGATTACTGAAAATATTCGATTAATCTTTCTTTTAATAATAAGGCGTATGACATTTATCAATTCACTCTACTTTACAATCGATAAATTCCACGATTCCTGATGTGTGAATCATGAGGTACCTTTTGTTGGACACTTGTCAATTTCTGCAAATGAAAGAAATTTAGCAAGTTTTTTTCCTGCTATCCGGCATTTGCTAGGTTTACCTCTGTCTGCTTAGTAAATGGATGTGCGAGAATATGCCCATCAAGTGGTGAAAGTTTGAGAGGTAGAAAAAATGGGGATAATTTCTGATTCTACAACCAGATCATAACAACTTTCTCAGGTTTAACCCACCATAAGTTAAATTTTTGTTGTCTATGCTGATAAATATACACAAGTTTCTTGTTCAATTTCGCAGGAAATTTAGCAAAATTAAGCGGGTGGGGTGGGGGAGATGAACAAGACTGTTATTGGTATTGCTTTATCATGGAATTTCAAGAACCGACCTTAATAGTATTTGTTTCATCTGCATTGCGATTATCGCGGAAACCATTTGTCGGCAATAAAGACGTGCAATGCTTTCTGGCAATGCCCGATGGAAGAAGAGGCGGATGAAGCTGTCCAAAGATAAACCATTTATCCACTCGGTAACAAGTATTCTCACGTCCACGTGCTGAAAATATAGAAATTGTTTTTTTTGCAAATTAACAAAGAAAGAGAAAGAATAAAAAATTCACATTCGGGATCTCAGTATATGACCAAATGATACGCCTATTCGTTAGCTGACGAAATTTCAATTGTCTAATTTTTTCTGACTATAGCCAAGGTAAATCTGAATCAGGGATCTGCAAGAGAATATCAGCGGAATAGTTTCCAATTATTTTTGAAGGCCATTCTTTCAGCAGAACTAACCTCCTAGAGTTTCACAAAGGTAACGGGAATTCAGAGGAGCAAATTAGCTCTCAAACTCCACAGATATTCTTACTTTCACGAAAGCCATCTTCTTATTTTTTTCCTTCCAATTTGTTCGCTGTAGTGACCGACTTAAAGCATCTTTGTACTCAATTGATGCTTTTGGTGCAGACATTCATTGGTCAGTACTTGTTAATCCATTCGAAATTATAACGTCAAAGTAAAAGGGTAATCGCGAGTTTGAGTTGAGGGCCTTAGGTTTGTCAATATTGAAGAAGGGAATAAGAAGCTTTGAATAAATCAATTCACATCCCAAATCCCATGGGAATAATTTAAATGAAGACTTCCAAAGTACACGATAATAGTTAGACCATGGAGAATAGATAATTAATAACTAATATTTATTTATTTATATCAAATGGCAGGCGTTTTGATAGTCATCATTAGCCCGTTAGTTGACTTCAGGCTTCACAGAGGGGAAGGAACATCAAAGTGGAAAACAAGTCGAGAGGGGGGGGGGACGGAAGAGTGTTTCAAAGATGTAGAAAAAAGGTGAGGCGAGTACTGTGGAAGTAGCCGAATACGATATGCAGTCGGGTCATGGAACTTTGAAGTGAGAAGTCAACTGCCAGTTAATAGAC